GCTGTGACGTCATGTACAGTACAGACCTTCAGGGATATTTTCCCAAAATGTCAAACTATTCCTTTAATAGTGTTATATTCATGTGAAGACCAAGTTTTAAACACTCCACAGTGAACGTCCTATTGTAGAGCTACAGATGTTTCACTCTGCATCCAGGAAGCTTCCTTCGGTTCTGATGCTGTAACTCAATTTTCTACCAATTATGTTGATATAGATTTACTTTGCATCGGGGGAAATGATCGAGGATTGGGGAAATGTAATATGTCACCTAGGTTACATCTTCAAACATTTTGAACATGGATTAAGTTGTGTAATGTGTAAACACAATAAGTTATTTGGTTAAATGGTGAAAGGTCTCCCATAACAAGTTCAGTTGAGTGTTTTATTTGACATTTTACTGTCTGAATGATTCAGATGAATCTGCACAGACATGATACATTTAATAAAGAGTTTGTTTGGTCTAAATATTAGATGTCTGGAGTATATATAATAATGTATAATAATATATCTATTGATTGTGATTGCTATTGAATAAAAGACTGAATCAAATGAAACAGATCCTCAATTTATCACAGAAACATCCCCGAAAAATAACAAACTTTACTCAGTTAAGTAGTATTAACTAGTATTGTGGCATATTCAGAATAATATGAAATGATAGATTTCAATTAAGCAATTAGTAAATATATTAAAAAAAAGTTTATCGTGATAGTTTCAACTACTAAATTTATGAAGGCTCAAAAACACATGTGCACAAACAAACCTGTAAGGTCTGAATGCACAATATTTCAGTAAAAACATAATAATAAAACATAATTATGAGTTACCCATTATACATACAGCAGCAAATGGACCATAAATGATATGATGCAGATGCACTTTAATATACTAAATGCTGTAATCTACTCCCACTGCTGGCCCGCTTCCCTCCCAGTGACCCACTCAAACACACGATGGTTTATAAAAGTTGGCGTATACGGCACAGGGAACTCTTGCTCTAATACAATACTATTAAACTTATTAATATAACAAAACACACATATGGCTTAGGTTGTACTTTACATTAAGTGATGATTTTTGACAATTGATGTCAGCAGTGCAGATGGGTCATAAGAGGTCTATCTGTATTTCCTTCCATATACCAAATGCATTTTTGCATATTAAATGCTTTTTTCTGCAGATTTATATAAAAAAGGCGAGTCCAAACAAATCCATTAAAGTAGAGAATTAGTGCACTCTCTAATCATATTTTATTAGAGGCTTGGTTTAACCTGAGAGTCCATTACATGTTTTTTTGTTGTTGTTGTGTGGCTTTATTAATAAGGATATTTAATAAAAAAAAAATTCACATTACAATTCCAATTATATATTTTATTAGTCTTTGAAAGGGTGTACATGCATGTTTATGCTTATCATTATATAATTGTGTTTTTCTTGGACAACAAATGTATTTATTGTAAGTGGATAGGCCTAGTCCTTTGTATGTCGGGGCATGTGAAGAAATTGACATTAAAGCTGACTTTGACTTTGACTAGTCAGAAGTAAACTATAAGTCCGCTTCAAGTAAAACAATACTTTTTTAATGTTTGATTTATTGTAATTTTTCAGTACAGTCTTGTGAGAAAATTACTGATTTCTGCTGGTGTTTGACCTCTCTTGGTTTAAGGGAAATTATATGAATGTCTGCTTGCTCAGTGTTTAGAGAGATTTGAGAATTTTCAAAGACCTCCACTCTTTAGAGCTGACTGGCTTTCTGCTTCGCACAGGCTCAGTCTGTGGTTGACCTTTATTCAGCTCATTGTTGAAGGAAATACTATGATGCCATTTCTAACATTAGATCCCAAGACTCCCTCTGCCCTCCCTATCATGTCTACAGATCAGAATCTAAATGAACTTTTTTCTCTCTCTAACATATGAAACTGCTTAAAACTACAGAATTAGACTGTGTAATTCCAGTGTAATCAATATAATAATATAATCCAAATTTAATTATTATTATTATTATTAATAAGAATTATTTCTGTAGGAAGATGTCTGCGGAAATAAATTTAAGACTACTTTCTTGTTGTCTTGAGAATTTAAATAAAGCTGTTCCAAAGTCTTTTAAGTACAGAGTACTCGGATTGTAATGCCTTGTAGACTCAAATCTAAAAGATCAATCCTAAAATGCTAATAGATCAGTTCAGATTAGTTTTTTATCTGCTATTTTGTGAGGTTTTAGTAATCCGATGCCATATCAGCCTTCTGGAACTGTTAGAACAACAAAAGTCTGAAAAATCTGAAACCGCTATGGAAGAAAGCGTATAAAAGAGTTTGTTACCCCACGTATTTATCACTATAACAGTGTTGGACCCACGGTAGACGGTTTAAAATCAGTGCAGCAGAACCAGAAATATTGTCTGATTTTGTTTCACGCTTTTGTCTTATTTTTCAAAACATGGCACTCACATTACCCACAATGCAACTCGACCACAGACAGTTTGGTTAGTGGTGGTTTGGGTTAAAATAAATGGTTGACTTTTGGTACGAAACAGGAAGTGATCAGTGGCCTCCCATTGCAGAAATTACATGTTTGCTTGGGGAAGCTCTTACACAGCTCTGACAGAAATGTTAGAGAACAACACGTTATAGGTCATATTGTTACTTCATGGTTACATGAGGACATTTCAGAGGGATGAACAGTGTCAGTTTTGGTGCCTGTGCTGTCAGCCTCGGGTGTTTTTAGAACAATGATGGACTGATCAATATTCCTCCATTAATAACATGGAAATATTGGACAATTTGATGAACCATCAACCATCCACCGACTGAACTATGGCACCTAATTATATCTATTTTTTTTAAATCCAATATGTCAAACATGGAAATCACCCCTGGGTATAGGTTACATTCACGCTGTCTAATTCAGCCCCATATTCTTTTAATACAATTTCCATTTATGTCTGGTTTGAGGCGTTCAATGTTGAAAGTAAACAGGTGAAAAAAAGTTTTTAGAAGTAAATAATCTCTTATAAAATCTCATCTTTATGATTACCCAGGGCCTTACAGCTGTTTCTATAATTACATTTACTGAGAAAGGTTTTGGTGTTTTGCCACATACATATCCTCTCTATATTTACAACGCGGTGTCTTTCATTTCCTGTTGTGAGACTCAGATAAGATGCCAACCAGGGAGTTCTTATTAAAAGAGGGTCATCTTGTTTATGAGGTTAATGTGTACAGTTGACTCTATGTAGCTAAGCTTTTGTTTTGGCGTTATGAGTGAGTATTTATCAGGTTTCAAATTAAGTTATTAAAAATTAAATTTTCCAGCCTGTAAATAAAAACAAAATATAATGTAATCAAAACGGAATCATTTGAAAAACATACTTTGTATTTTAGAGAACATTAAGGCAAAGTTATGATTTTTAAGTACGTTTGCAGCAGTTAGCAAGTGTGGATGCTTTTTCATCACTTTAGGACTTATCTTATACTGTTTAGGTGCTGCCATGCTGAGAGGAAGAATGGATTAACTATAAAAATAAATTTTTCTTTATAAGAAGGTAGTAATGATAAAGAAATAATGATGTAAGACTGGACATTTTAATCAAAGATGGCTGATATTTTACTAACTGAGGTACAATGAGGGATAATAAGCATAAAAAGTGTGTGTGTATGTATGAGAATGAGAGCAGCATTGTTCTGAGCTGTTTTGTTCAGTTGACCATCATTATTATGCATCATGAATAACAGTAACTTTATTCTTCATGAACCTGCCACATTAAATAGGATGTAACTTCCATGGTGGAAGAAGTATTCAGATCCTTTACCTATTAGTAAAAGTACTAATACAACAGTATAGTATACATAGAATAATCAGGACCAGTGTGTAGGATTCAGTGTCATCTAGTAGTGAATGGTTGGGGATGGCAGGTATTTGAATACAGCTCAGCCTTTTAACACAACTTTCAAAAGCTAGAGCCAGTATTTGGTTTGTTCATTCTGGGCTACTGTAGAAACATGGCGGTTCAACATGGCGGCCTCCAAAGAAGAAGAGCCACTCCCGCTGTAGATTTAAAAGACTCATTCTAAGGTATCAAAAACAAAAGAATTCTTATATTCAGGTGATTATACACAAATGAAAACATACCTAATATTATA